ATACAAGCAAGAATGTTTTAACAGAGTGTTGGGGTTGGTTTTTCTACTGCAACAGCTTACCCACAGCAGATTTTGAGATGGCGAGTCACAATGACCGGAAATACGCATTCTTTAAGGTAGGTCATTGGAGAAGCTACATCCTTTCTGCAGTGTAAAATAGCCTGTATGGACAGGTTTTAATGGCAGGGCTTATATATAGCAAGATTCCCACCACTAATTTCTGCCTACACTGAGAACTGGGATGATGGACAGATTTCATCTTCTCAGATCACTCTTGCCAAGCAACACGCTGAAGGACATGGAAATGTGGCTTTCATTCATGTTACTAAGTTTTAAGTTATTTGGGAATATTACTTGTAATTTTAAGAACAGTAATTTAGTGAACATACTGAACTTGTTAAAGACTTTCAGCTTATTTCATTTTCCAATGGTTAAATGAATCTTCAATGTATACGTTTGTCCAAGATTGAGGATGTTTTACAGAACACACAGCCATGTTCTAAGGACAGACTAGGCCACACCAATGGTCTGCCAAGACCAGGATCCTCTCTCCAGCAGTGACCAAAAATTAATGGCATCAAAGCATATAAGAACATGATAATTTTTTCCAGTCTCTAGTTATCATGATATCCCCGAGCTGGATGTGGTTTCTGCATATTTAGTAGCCTGAATTTCTTTTTTTAACTTGGCAAATCTCTCCTCGAGCCTGCATAAACTTTCAGTACACCCACAGGATCCTGCAGGAAGGAGCTCCCCAGCTCAACTACCTGTTGCAAGCCACCTCCTTAGCTTGCTTTGAATGTCTCCTCTTAAATTCATTTGATAAACATTTATTTCTATATGCTCCCCACCTCCACACAACCACGGATGCACAGATTACACTACAAGAATCATAAGGGCTGGAAAAGTCTGACCTCAGATACTTTTCCAAACCTATAACATACAGCTACCCCTAATCTTAGCTACAATAATCTTTGCCAGCCTCGGGACAAACCATGCCTGTATAGCTCACTGGCTCACACAGAGATCTTGTGACAGTTAACAATACTCTTTTGGGTTCCTTCTATGTCAGCCAAGACCCAACTCCAGCTCTAAGTTTATACATTTCACAAATACTGCCACACATTCCAAACTACTGATCTTCTTTTTTATTCCACTTGTTGTCATCAGCCTTCCTCCTAGCCCCAGAGAGTTGGCCAAGTCTTACAATAGCTTTCAACTCTGTTGAAAAACCAAAACATTTACCCTGGCAAGACATGCAGAATGACCACATTTCCAGCTTAGTACAAATAGGAACAACTGCTTGCAAATAGAGACTCCCATTTGTGCCCTGCAGGATCTTCAAAGAGTTACAAAACAACTTGCCTGCTGCCCAAGCACTAATCTTTGTTTCAGCCATAGCTAAACTGTTAGTAACCAACCCCCTTAAGATCACCACCCAACACTGGCCTTTCTTTTAGTTTCATGGGGCTTCCTCCTTCTGGTGTTGACACCAAACTTAGCTCTTCCACTCCCTTCCTCCCAATTTAACCCAAGTTGCAAATAACATCCTGGCTTTAAATTCAGTGCTGTGACAAAATTACTGCCTTCAAAATCTCATTAAAAGCTTCCCACACCAACTCTTCATATGCTGCTGCTGTAGGTGTCTGCAGCTGAGGAACATACATTGCTTAGCAGCTTCTCTGAGGCTGGACCATATCTACAGACGCTCCGATCTGACCAGAGATCCAGCAGCTGGGCAACCAACCACACAGACCAGCACTTACTTGGATGTTGAATATCCTCAAACCTTGATGTCACAGACCCTAACCTAACATCACCTCTAACACTGGGGCCAGAAAGTCACACTGACTCCAGATATACCCTCAAGCAACTCATCCAGCTAACAGCGTTTTTTGTTTCCACAGGGTGGAAATATGATGCTTTAAAGCTAATCTTGTCTCTTCAGCCTCCCTCTTCCTTGCACCTAAGCTGAACACCAGCCCTGGCTAGCCTTCCAACTGGCCAGATACACAGATCTTCCTGGAAACCAGGCCTACACCACTCAGACTTGCTGTCTCCATCTGACATCCCAGTTCTGCACTCATGACAACTGGCACTGTGTCATTTCTGCAGCAACAGCTTCAGCTCTGACCACGATCAGATGAAGTCTCAGATGAGAGTTACAGTTTGACTCTGAAAGAGGAGATGAGGAAGGAAGAGGTTTGCCAAGATAAGGGCTATGGTCAGTGTACGCATAACAGCCTGTCCATTCAGACGCAGTCACCAGCTCTGGCTACCTTGAAGGATTGACCACTGTCCCATTCACCAAAAGTTTGCCACCCCACCTGTCCAAAAACTTGTCCTAGGGTGTCATCCATATTGACTAACTAGCCTTCCCACAGCTCCATGAGACTGGCAAGATACAACAACAAAAGAACAGCTCTCACCTCCAAGTTCTTGTTTGTAGGTGATCCCACATGTCTAACATGAAGAGCACTGCCAGCAGCACAGCTGGGCCTACAGCTAGCTCTGAGGCTGTCAGTAGGTCAGTGACCATTTCAAAATGAAGGCTTAGGGTCTCATTCAGGAAAAAAGGTATTGCTGAGCAAGCCTAATGTGCTGGCAGGTGGACCCTGCAGGCTTACAGTGGTACATGGGATCAGGATAACCAGGTTTTGACCTCTCTGAGGTTTTTTTGGTTGCAAGCTCAGATTAGTGGTCAGCTTAAAATCTGAGTTCAGAGAAATACGAATTGCAGAGGAGAATTCACAGATATATTTTGCAGATATTTCACATCTAAGATGAAGATTCATGCCAGGAGACTAGGGTTAAGGCCAGCAGAAGCTCAGAACCAAGTTTCTGTCTAGATCATACAGTGCGCAAACTGTGAGGACAGGGACTACCACAAAAGCTGAGGAACAAGATTCATGGCAGGGAAGGTGCCAGGTACTGAACTGTGGGAACACATTGTCAAGGCCCTGATGAGCACCACCTAGTCCCACACCTGGCACCCCATTTCACCTCAGCCCTGTCTCCTTTATGCACATCGGACCTGTGCTGCAGGTAGCTTGTGTCTGTGGGTGTCCATCCAGGAGACACATTCTTGCTTGTCCTTACTCCTGCCTCTTGCCCTTTCTCCTGCATGAACTTTGGGCCATGTTGCAGCTTTGCCAGTCCCACCTCCTGACTGCTGACAAGGACTCAGCAACAAACTCACTTTTCAGGTTCTGTTGCGAAGACCTGTGCCTCAAAGTCAGCTATGGGAGGCTAGTGCTAGATTAGCAGCAGTGGAACTGACCAGCTAAATTTAACTCTGCATATTAGAAAGCCACATAATGGCTGCCATCTGGGCTTGCTGAAATGATGTCTGGGTGGAAGATACAGGCTTCTGGGTAAATTGGCTAAAGTAAGGATTAAGATCAAACTCAGCAGAAGAGCTGGGATAACTACAGGGGTTTAGAATCCCTGCAGAACAATAATAGTGGGGTTTATTGCAAGGGTTTCCTTAATTAGGTCTGGAGCAGGTAGGTGTTGATGGATGGCAGGTGAAGCTAGGTCTGCTTCTGGAACCAGGAAGGACCTTAGCCAGCAGCACTCTCACTTGAGTTTCATAAGGCTGTTAATGAAATCCACAGTGCTGATGGTAAAAATAGACACTGTTTTATAGCCCAGGAATGACTTAGCTTTTGGGTTTAAAAAACCTTCCCCTGTCATTACAAGATGTAAAGAGCAAACACACGAAAGTCATTTGCAGCTCAGCATACGTAATTGGAATCAGGCCATGATCATTTATGACTTGATGACCCGCATCTCAGCATAAACGTATCAAAAAGGGACAGCAGCAAATCCTTCAGTTATGCTGCACAGAGTCTGGTAATAACGACTCCATCAGAAATGCTGTGAACAGATCAGAGCGTTCCAAATCAGACAATGTGCTTCCTAGAGGCCCTTTCAGCCTTGATGGTAATAGGAGCTGTTGTCACATTATCTTAAAGGTCTCCAAATGAGATCCAGTCCAATTCTGCAGCAGATGTTCAGTAAGGATTGCTTGATCTTAACCTGCATCTCAGTTCCAATTCCGTGAGCCAGCAAGGCCAGAAAGTGACAAAGAGGAAGACTGTTCCCATTTTCATTTGAGACATAAGGAAATCCCTCCAGAAGCTGCAAAGTGTCTTTCCCCAGTTCAGAAGCTAACCAGAGCAAGCAGTTATGCACATGGCCCTGTCTTAAGAGGAAATTAACTTCCTACTACCTTCTTGGAGCACTGGTTGGGTTACATCTGGAGGGAAGAACTAAGTCACAGCTTCTACTACCTTGCTGGTCTGGCCCAGCAGAGCCAAAGGAATGTGGAATCAGCCCCCCTTCTTGCACACTGGGTCCCAGGCAAGGAAAACAAAACATGTTTTTTACAAAATTTAAGCATCTGTCTTTAAAAAAAAACAGTTATAAAACAAAAAAGTCTGTTAACACAAATTTCAGGTTCATTGGTTTTAATTAATCCACAGCAGCTCATTTTATGCTTAGTCAGAGCTCTCCAGTACTCTGCACAACTCTACATTCCACCTTCACTGATCAGCCACCTATACTCCACTAACAGGCATGGTCCTACCCTTTTTATACAGTGAAGATGAAACTCCGAATACTTGCATCCAATGCCTCAGGAGCAGCCAGTTTAAGGTTTACAATTATGTTTCAGTCTCATAAATTAGGCTTTAGGTTTGGGATTAGGCTTTAGTCATTGGACTTCCTGGCCCTATGCTCAGGGAATTTAATTATATTCTTCGGGCTTTGGATAAAAATAAACCCACATCTGTAATGTAATCTAAGGGACCTGGAGTATGCTTCAGGGTTCAAATAATGCTGGTTACTTTCTATTCTAGGCAGAGCAATAAGGAAAAGTAATTAAGACAACAAAATGAGTCTTCTCATTTGCCATCTGTAAAACATTTTAGTGCAGGAGAAAAAATAACATCAAAGCTTCACTTTTGAAAACTTTTGTTTGATTAGTGGCATTGTACCTCGTCAGGAAATACGGTGAGAATGAAGCTGGATTGTCCTGCTCTGAAAACATCGGCATGGAACCTCCCATTATCCAGAGGCGGAAGTACAACACGAGAATTACCTTCAAAGAAGAACATCCTAGTTAGCAGAGAGCTACTAAGAAGAACTAAGGCCTCCAGCAAGTGTTTTGTTGTGCTAGATCTTCATGCTCTCTCTGCCTCCAAGTGAGTCAGCTCAGTGGTTTAGGCTAAATTCAATTTTACCACCCTATGTAGGGTGACAAACGTGTCAACCCTCAGCACAGATAGCACAATACGTTGCTGTGTGTCCCCCTTTCGTGTGTGCATTACTGACAGCAACTGACATATCTCAGCTACCCACGAAAAAGGCAGCATTTTGAAGGACAAATCTATCACCCTGCTGTGGCTCAGACTGCAGAGTTTTGCTATTGACCTCTACCTAAATACAGAAGAGGAAAACATGGCTGATGTCTTAAAAGCTATTATCATTCACTCACGCTGGCATAGGTGTAAGGACAAGCTCACCAGAGTTTCTCATGCTGTATAATCCTAATCCCTGGAAGGACTTCAGCAGGCTGGCACTCCTCCAGCTTTCTGGGAACCACTTGTCAAGGAACAAGCAAGGGGATCTGGCTCCTAGAGCAGCACAGGGAATTGCGCATCCAGCACACCCCCATGGAGGTACTTGTTTTCTCCCCTGTGACATGTCAAGTCCTCCTTGGAGCATGCCAAGCAGCAGGTATTTGCAGGCAGAGGTTTTACTGTGACTTTTACCAAGAACAGATCTGAAACTAATGGCATGCCACTGAAAAATCAGCCCAGCACTACAGAGTTCCCCTGTATTTAGGGCAGGAAATACCTGCACATTATTACATGGCTGTAAGGGCAACCACTATAAATTGAAAGAATGCCTGAACTGGAAGCATAGCAATATTCTTGTGTCTGCCCAGCTGAAGTTTTCTAGACTGTTTTGCAAGGCTAACTTTGTATTAATATCTACCATCTAAGCTTTCAGAGTCTTTTGGGATACCACCACACAACATTCCTTCATATGCAGAAATACACAGTCAAGTCCATTCATACTTACATAGCTTATCACCAAAACAGCTCTCTTCAGAAAAGGCCGAGCGGTATACAAGAAATTCTGGTTGTTATTTGCAGTCAGGTAGCTGAAACATAAGGAAACAAGTATTTGTTGAAACAACAACTCATTTTTCAAACTGGAGAAAAAGGTGTTTGTGTTAACACATTGTGATAAACTACCCTAATCTAATGATGCAGTAATAGTGACATCAATCTTACTCTTCAAAGCTCTTTCCTCATGATTCAAGTAAAATATTGAGACCACTTCAAATGACAGATACTATAATACATTGCAGTTTCCCATCAAACTCTGGGTTTGGTTTGTAGGTTTTTAAAATCATAATTAACTCCATAATCCTCAGAAAACCTCCATGTATGTCTCACTAAGATTGCTGTCTTCAGACTCCCAGAAGATTACACCGAGACACATTTTTAAAAGGTTACCCAAAGAGAACAATTAGATTTTAGGCCATTATTAAAATGCCAAAACTCAGTCTCTAGAGATGGGAATAACTGTCTAGCAGATCTGAACTTATTTTAAGCGGGGTTTTTTAAGTGTATCCAGCACACTTAAGTTTCATCACAACTCTGCTGACAAGGTGTTACGATAATTAAACTGCACAGAGACAAACACACAGGTGCCTTATTGTTGTAGGAGTGTTCATAAAAAATCCTTCCTGTTTCTCAATGAGTAAAATTAAATTGTGTCTGGAGCCAAAACTACATATTTATTTTAATATAGAGTAGAAGCACTTGCCAGACTCTATGGCGCTTTCTTAATATAACAAATGATGCTGTACCTATTAATTAAATGATAATTCCATTTCTACTGAACCTTACAGAGGCTTTGTCATTCTAATAAGGTGATGAAAAACAAAAAGAAACACAGGAGAGACAACCGGAATAATTTAAGCATATAAGAACTAGAAAACTATAGAAAAAAAAATACAGTTTTAAGAAGTTATAAATATCAAGTAAACAAATAAATTCAGAAGGAAAACATTTGTGAGTTCCTCTCTGTAAAATATAATCAGTATCAGGATACTCTATTTAAATGATTTACAAAACCTGTAGCATGAATCACACCTGCAAGGAAGTTACCTTTCCAAGCATGAAATCATCATACGTTTCTCCCGTGAACATCTAGCGTATAAAACACATCTTCTTTCCTCTCCAAATTCCTCAAGACAGTCTATCATCTGACTGATTCCACCCTTCAAGTCTTCGAAAAAACCCACAGGATTTGGCAGCGTTAGGAAGTGCTGCAGAGTCTTTAATACCTGGCTTTTTGTTCAGATTTTCTGTGGAGGAAGTCTGCAAGCCTTGTCACCATGGCACACTGCAGACAAAAGCACCAGGGGCAAAGCCAGCAAGAAACAGACGCGACATTTAACAAGAAAAAGGAAGTACAATCTGGGTGCTCTCCACAAAACAACTGCTCTTGAGAAAAGTGCCCAAGTGTTGTACCTAAAACTTAGGGACGACACCATACACCGCAAAGCAAGCCAGAGGACTTTCAGTCTTTAGTGCCTACCTATTTACAAATGTTGACATTTAAGCTCGGAATCTGACTTAAATGTCAGACTAGTCTTCAAGGGCTCAACCCCACAAAGCGCAAAGTTTTTGAGCTCCCACTGATTTTAATCAGGCTCTAGCAAGTAAAAGTGAGATGAAGCTAAGCTTTAAGCTTTCTCTCTCCATGAAAGGACAGGCTGGCCTTCAAGTGTTCACCATGGCCTTGCTCCAAAGCCCACCGAAGCCAAAGGGAAAGACTGTCAGTGACTTTAATAGCATTTGGATGAAACCCCGGTCTTTTGTTTCCTACTGAAACCTTCTATAAAACTCAATCCCCTCACGCTTTGCAGTGAGAACAGAAGTGTTGGGTTGCATTTTGTTTATACTTTAATGGGTGGAGGGAGGAAAGCCCTCTATTAATCACGCTGCCTCACTCTTTTCAAGAACCCATTTTCACTTGCTCGTAGTTTTAACTAACTGCAACACTTTGAGCAGAAATTTTCCATTACAAATATTTGCTTTAGGTGGAATTATTCTGGGAAAAGCCAAAACAGTTTAGCTTTTCCCCCAAGACTTAAATTAGAGACAGAGGAGCACTTTTAATAGGTGTCAAGAAGTCTGCCAATTTCATGCTTGAGAAGCTGCATCACCTCATACCAGTGACCCAGAACTCGTGAGGTGTCCATCATCTCCAGGCTATGTGTTTGCCACCCTCCAGAAAAGCCAGCTGTGATCAGGCAAGCAGCAAGCTGAGGGAGCAGCACAGATAAGGAGGTAGGGACACACAGACCTTGCTGCTTGGCAAGTCTGCATCAAAGATATTCCAGCTGGAACAACTGCTGGGGACAACATGCTGTTTGTTGTAGTACCCCATCAGCAAGAACAGTAAACTTTGTTTTAGTCTGCTGAGGCTCAGGAAAGTGTGTTTGTGCTTCAGTGACTTACAAACACTGATCTAGGTTGGGAGACCAGCATAGAGGAACCCTCATTACCATCTCTTCGTTCCCTCTTAAGCCTGGCCGGAGAAAATCTAAGCCAAAAAATGATTTGTAAATGGAAGGCCATAGTTGCTCTTTCATCATTGGCAGTACGGTGCAAGAATACTTACACTTTAAACATCTTGATTTTGACTTTTTTTTGTCTATCTGTGAGTAACTAAAATGCCACCCACATCTCACACCTTCCTTGCAGCAAGCATAACGCCATGCAAGCTACCAAGCACAGTTTCAAGGCATGAGTTTACCTGTAAGTCAATTTGAAGTGCTACATGAATTGCAGGGCAGCTCTGGCCACTGCAGAGGAGGCCTTCTGAAAACATTTCAGAGAATCCTGACAGGCCTCTCACAGTTTATGTTGTGGAGCAATAACACAGCCAGGGAAAAAAAACCCAAACCTGTGCACTGACACCAATTGCAAATCTCCATCCTGTGCTACAGAGCAGATGGGCTGCAAGCAAGAAGAAACAAAAATGAAAGCAAGGGGTAACTGGGAATCAGTGACGCAAGAGAGATCAGAGAGCCCCGATTTTCCTGATCATTTCCCCAAATGCTTCTGCTACTTTACAACTTGTTAAGAAATCCTGGGGGGTTTCCCATGGTAGTTCAGTTAAGAAGCAAAGCATTTCCATTTTGAGAAAGCTGCTGTCCTGAAGTCTATCTGGAAACCACAAAGAATAGTGTGGCCCACTGCTTGGTAATCCAGCTGTCTGCCCATCAGATGAACCTGTGTGGGTGGTATAAACATACCTGTTATGCTCAATGCATCAAAGCTTTACAAGAACCATGTGGTTTTCCAAAGTACCTCACTGAGGCTACTACTTGTTTCAGAGAAGGCAATTATTAAAACGTCTCATGTCCGGTGCTGCTGAAGGACAACACACAGATTATATATTTAAATCCCAATGAACTGCAAATGGGACCTGGATGAGGAAGTTTGCTAAACATCAGTGACACGCAGCATTTAAAAATGCACTAGCATTTACTTGTAAAATTGCAGCTTGCAAATACATAGAATCATAGAAGCAACTAGGTTGGAGAAGACCTTGAAGATCATCAAGTCCAACCATTACCCCAGCACTGCCAAGTCCACCACTAAAGCATGTCACTGAGGGCCTCATCTGCACAGGTTCTGAACACTTCCAGGGATGGTGGCCTGTTCCAATGCCTGAGCACCCTGCTTGTGAAGAAATTCTTCCTAATATCCGATCTAAACCTCTCATGGTGCAGCTTGAGGCCATTATCTCTTGTCCTATCACTGTTCCTTGGGACAAGAGACCATCTAAAGTTACACTGAACTTTTCTCACATGACCTTCAGATCAGCCAATGCTCTTTATTTTGTCTTTAGCTGGGAGACTCAAAGAAATTACTATTACAAGTTTAACTGCTTTATACCTGCTTTAAAAAGCTGCCTGTATAAAGTCATTTACAGGTCAGATTTCCGTGCATTTGCCAACCACATTAGGCTTCCAAACATCCCACCGTTCATTGGAAACCCTCCCTATCACCTACTCCACCCCAACCAGTGTAATGTGGCTCCCCATGCCAAAATACACACACATACTCATTTCCACGACAGCAGGTGTGGGATGTATGTAGGAAAGCTCTATTGATGGTAGCTCCATGCAGCAAAATGCTACCTCCAGGGTAGGTGAATATTTCAAGGTGTGGGTCTTCCAGATTTTCATAATGATATAATAAAATTAGAGGAGGAAATCCAGATCATCAGGTCTGCTAAATGAGTGTGAAAAGAGCCCACTTGGGTAGAGGTTCCACATCTGCACAGTGCCAGCTTTCCCACAAAGCCAACCAGCATGTAATTACCTACTTGCTATCTTTTAAGAGCCTTTCAGGAATATTCCCTGAAGCAATCAGAATGACAAAACCCAGTAAATCCAAGAAATGCTTAATAATGCTGGGATTTGTTTTGCACAGTTCGAGTGGAGGCCAAGATAGATATTTGGCAGCCCCAGCTTCCTGAAAAGCATGGCTCATCCTGAAATCTATTACATCATCAGGGCACTCGGAGGTTTTATAATTGAAGACAGCAGGGTAGGTGGCCTAGTAAAACTCAATACTACACAGTTTTCAGGAACATAAACTTTGCTGGTACCAGATGGACTCTGTGTTAATCAAAACAAACTTCTCTAAGAAGCAGGCAGCTTTTTCAATGTGCCTGTACTACTGGAGGCACCTAGAGTTTACAGAAAGGAGTGGGGCAGCTCACTGAGATGCTGTTCATTGCCATGGCTCTGTGAGCTATCATAGACTACTGGCAACACATTTATCCCACGCTGCAGCAGGCTCAGCTTTGGTATAAAATGTCAACTTGCTCTTGTGTTCTCTTTGAAGGCTTTCTCAAGGGAAGCAAACATCCAGCACGGGGACATCTAAAAGACCAGGTTAAGTATGCAGTAGAACAAGCTTTGGTATTTCAAGTGCCTGTTTTCGGCAGGCCCCTCCACTGCAAGATCATTGCTCTCATTTATATTCTTCCCAGCAAATAGATGCAACTGCCAGAAACTGACAGAGTTTTGAACAAGCACATTCAAAATCTTAATACTAAAGGAAGACA